CTCCTAGAATAAATACAGGACCTCGGCCTGGCCATTGGGCACTTTGTGGCTCACCTTTGTGATTAGGCCCATGTGGTCATGTGACCAGGCACAGCTACAAGACCTGGGTCTGGCCGTTGCACTCATTCCATGCCTGGCCTTCCTGCTTCCATGAGGCTCCAACGGACTGGGTTTATGCCTCCGCTTCTGTGATTGATTCCAGGGTGGCCATGGGACCTGGAGCAGTTGGAGTCATTCTCTGCCCCAGCCTGTGTGATTGGGTCGTGTGACCCTATCACTACGGTCATTTGACCCAACCTAGGCCAATGGCAGATCATGTCAGACCTTGGCAGGACCAGTTGGGCTAGAGGAGGGCTCTTTCTGCTCTGATTATGACCATGCTATCTTGGCTTTGAATTGTGATGTTGGAGAAAAGTACTGACTATCCCATGGGCTGTGTAAAGAACCACCAAGTCCACCGTGGAGAAAGTGTAACCAGGATGTTCTTTAGAGGGAAGGATGGTGAAACTTATCTGGTCTACTTTGAGTATGTTGTTTGGAGGGGCTAGTCCTGGGAAAAATCATGCTGGGAAAGGTAGAGACCTGAGAATGACAGGAAGACCCTCGACAAGATGGATTGCCACAGAGACTGTAACTATGGGTGGGGTTAAATCTGTTGTTCATCGTGTCACTAAGAGTTATATAGTTAGGGAGCTCTGGTGGCCTAGCGGAAAGAAGCTATGCTGCAATCCTGAAGGAGCACAGTTTGAGTCCACCAGGTGCTCTGCAGGAGACGGAGGGGCAATCTCTTCCTGTGCCAGTTAGATCTGATCCACAGGTACACAACAAGGAAAAAAAATACAAGAAAAGGAGTTGCATACTCTACTTGATGGCACCTAATAAGAACAACGTTTAAACAAGAGTTGCTAGTCATTATGTAGACCATCACGTAGGACCTGCTGGCCTGAGATCAAAGACACCAGAGAAAAGCAAACCGAAGGGACAGAAAAATGGAAATGTCTGAAAACGTTATTTGCATTATTATGAACATTCTTCTAAGTAGCACAGCACTAGTCTGTCAGTTTGCTGTACTGAAGTAACTTGGGGTTGCTGTGAAGCTGAAGGCTGTGCCACTGATGTATCAAAGAACATAATGGTTACATGGTGGGTGGTGTTTGGTGAAGCTTCCAGATTGAGACAGGCTTGGAAGCAGGAGTGGTATCCACTTCCTAAGCAACATGCCTCTGGAAACTTTATGAACATAGAGACATGATGGTAGTTCTAGAACAAGTTTCAGATCTTTTGTTCATAGGGTCGCTGTGAGTTGTGCTCGACTCAATGGCACTTAACAATAACAACAGCTCAAGCTCATCCTGAAGTCTGAGGATTTGGGGATAAAGTAGTCTATTTTTGTTTTCTGGCATTTGCAATTGACAAAGCCCAGACTGATCCACACATACAACTGCAGGTAGATTTAAGGATGGTGTATATTGTTAATGCACTTTCTGAGATGCTAACTGACCAAGTCTGTCCAGGGATCCCTCAGAAGAAAGGCCTGGTTATCTGCTTTTTGAAAGGTCAGTCACTAAAATCTATGAGCACACCAGGGGTCACCAGAAGTTGGCTTGAACTCAACAGCAACTGGTTTAGGGCAGGGTGTGGTTGACGATGGGCACTGGGTATGGCAGTTCACCGGCTTCGGCATCTTTGCTGGTAGATCTGTTGGATAAACCCTTGGGCCTGCCAGTATGTGCTGGGGAAGCCCTCTGGCGTGTGCCTGTTCAGGAAATTCGAGAACAGGAAAGGGAAACACCTCAGGTTTCAGCACATTTGCCTCGGGCACCAAGCACAAGCACGCCTTCTGGTCTTTTGCAAAAGAGTTCCTTTTGATCAGAACTAGATGCCAAAAAGTCTTTTTAAAAAATGGAAAACAAACAATAAAAAAAGCAGGAGAGGAGGAGGATTATGTTAGAACTTTAAAAGTCACTGAAATCAAAGCAAGTCGCTGCTTAGTGTCGACTGATTTTCAAAGCAGAAGAGGAACAGGACTTCAGTGCCTTTTGAAAATAGTTGTGGTAGGGTGTCTCAAGGTCAGGGCCTTGGCAGTTCTGACAAAGGGGTGGGAGAGGGAGAGTCTTGAGCAGCCCCGTTCAGTGTGAGGGAGAAGGACATAAAAAGCAGAGCAGATGAGTCAAGCTGAGCTGCTGGCTGGTTCCCAAGGATGCCCTGGGAACCAGTTTGGGAATGTTCTCTGCAGATTCACAAGCTGGCTCAGTGCATATAGGGAAACCCAGTCCTTCTCACTGTTCTGTTTCCTGATGCAGGTTCAGAAGGTCTTTGGTCAAAACCATGCACACAGACTGTGCCCAAGTGAACTTAAGTTCTCCCTCTGTTAATAAAAGGAGCCCAGGTAGAATACGGTGTTAAAAGTTGTGTCGCTAGTTCCGAGGCTGCAGTCATCACGGTGCAGAAGGCCAGGGTTGTCTCCTGTGGCATGGGGTAGGTTCCAACCACTGACCTTTAGGTTAGCAATCACTTTATGATTTTGAGTTTTGTTATGTATTTTCTCCCCTATTTCTACACAGAACTTTTGGATGTAAACTCTTTCCCAGCAGTTGGTAGTGGTACCTGGGCACCAGGCTGAGGCAAGGAGGTGATCATCTCTGCATCACCTCTTATGGGACGGGTCATGTTGAGCATGTCACCTGAATTCTTTAAGGTGTCACTTGTCTCTCCTCCACTTCCCCCTCCTCTTAGCCTGTGATGGGAAAGCAGTCCTCATTTTTCAGAACTATCGAGTACCTGGGCACTGGGGGAACAGAACAGTTTTTGTGAGTGGAACTGTAAAACAACTGGCTCTTCTAAGGGGCTGTTCCAGGTCTCTGCCCACGCAGGACCTGACCCTTATAGGCCCTGATGGTACCCAGGCCAGAAAGGTGCTTGCTTCTCTCTCATAAACACCAATATCCAGAGCCAGGATGCTTTTCCTACTCTTCAGAATTCTCCTCAAAGACCTGCGGTGGTGCAGTGGTTAAAGAATGAGACTGCTAGCTCTCAAAGGGGAAAAGAGAGTCTCCTCTGTAAGGATTTACAGCTTGGAAACCCTGGGAGGCGGTCCCACTCTATGCAACACGGTGGTTGTGAGTTGCTGTGGAGTCCAGGCAGGGTGGTTTGGGGGCTGGCCTTTCTGCTCTTGAAGGGTTGAGGGAGGGGAGGGAAAGTTCTGCAAGAACCTGCAGTGGGAGGAGATGTGAGAGGAGGGGCTAGAATGCAAAAAAGAACCCCTGGTAAATTTTAATTTCAGATAAACTATGTTTTTTCCTCCAGTAGCAGAAAGTATGTGTTCTTCCTCTTGAATTCCTGTTTAACTGGGTGTTCATTTTGCTAAATCTAGGCGATGTGCCAGACCTGCGTGGACCTCATTTTGTCGCTTCTAGCAAAGTTGGGATGATCACATTAGAAAATTCCAAGAACTGCGCTATGGGAATTGAATGCTGGGCTGTATGAAGTGGATTTTTAAGCTTCCAGTCACTATGGAAACATTAACACAACTCAATTAAACGTGTTGCGGTGACACACTGAAAATACCCATCACTGGGTTTAGAGACTATAAATCACACTGAGAGGAGACGATTCCTCTTTCTCCTACAGCTGCTGGTGGATTTGAACCAGTGGAGATGCCAGGCCTTTGAGTTAACAGTGCAACTTCCTACTTTGCCACCAGAACTCCCCGTAAAGGTTAATAAAGGCAGGGATTAAGTTTTCCTTAATCACAGCCATACGCAATACCTGGAAGGAAGGGCAGGTAACTAACCAACCTACCTACCCATTGCAGGGGAGCCATTTCTTCCATCATGCCCTGTTTTAGTGAAAAACAGCTGGAGATACTTTATCTAAAATACACAAAATGAAGAGGGGCGGAGGGAGAGAGAGAGAAGATAAATAAAACTACCGCAAAGACTCTGGGGTTCAAGCAGTCCAAGCATGCAGCATTAAGGGTTCAGTACTGCAGCTGCGTTATGCAGATGACACAACCCTGCTGATGAAACTGAGGAGGACCTGAAGCACTTGCTGCAGAGGGTCAAGGACTGCAGCCTTCAATATGGATTGAGGCTCAATGTCAAGAAGACAAAGATTCTCACCACTGGACCAATTGGCAGCATCAGGATGGATGGTGAAGAGATTGAGATTGTACACAGCTTTAGTCTGCTTGGCTCCACAATCAACTCTCTCGGCACCAGCAGCCAGGAAATTAAAAAACGTATTGCCATGGGAAAGTCTGCTGTTAGGGACCTCTCCAAAGTGCTGAAGAGCAATGGTGTCTCTCTGGAGACTAAGGTGTGTCTGATACAGGCCATGGTCTTTGCTATCACTTGTTATGCATCAGAGTTGTACAATGACTAAGGAGGATAGAAGGAGAATTGATGCCTTTGAGCTGTGGTGCTGGAGAAGAGTATTGACTGTACCAGGGACTGCTAGAAAAACAAGCAGATTCATCCTGGAGAGGGTTAAACCAGGTGGCTCCTTGGAGGCAAGGATTCTGAGGCTTCGTCTGATATACTTTGGACATGTTGTGAGGAGAGACCGGTCCTTGGGGAGGGACTCATGCTTGGGAGGGTGGAGGGACAGCGCAGGGAGGGAAGACCCTCTATGAGGTGGATTGATTCAGTGACTGGGGTAATCGGGATGGGTGTGTCAGAGACAATGCAATTGGCACAGGATAGAACAGGGTTTAGGGCTGTTGTACACAGGGTCGCTATGAGTCTCAAGAGACTAGATGGCAATAAAAACAACTGAGCGGCTCACGATTGGTCGGAAGGCGCACACCACGTGCCTCCCACGCGGTACTGCAGTGGGGTGTGCACACGCTGCGCCTGCGCAGTCAGCACCTGCTGCTCTGAAGCGCTATGCGCATGCGTCCCCCCACTTCCGGTGGGGGCGGGGCGTACGTGCCGCTCAGCCAGAAAGTGCCGCAGAAGCGCAGTTCCCCGTGGGTCGCCTCGTCGCCATTGTTGGCCTTCATGGCCTTGGTGCCCATGGGGCCTGAGGCCTCCTTTTTCGAGGTTTTAGACCAGCACAGGGCTTCCCTGGTGGCTGCCCTGAGGAGAAGGAGTGAGGAGTCCCCTCCTGGGGGGCCCCGCTCCACCTCTGGGTATGAGAGAATGTTCTGGAAAGAGGGCAGGAGGGAGCCCGTGTGATTCTCAGCCCAGACCCCCAGAGAGACCCACCCTGGCAGCGCTTGAAGCCCTGATGCTTCCTGTCTTCACAGCAAAGCCCGTCATGGCTCCTGCCCCCTTCTAGAATGTTCTCTTCCCAGAATGTTCCTCGCCTGGAATGCGCCTGTCTATAGAGTGGCCCCATCCTGCAGTGTCCCCTCCTAGAATGTCCAGGGACAATTCCTGCAGTCAGGCTTTCAGGGGTGTTTTTTTCCTAAATGTTTTAACTTAAAAAAATTAGGGTTTTTAAAAAAAGAGAAAGAAAAATCAATGTTGTAAATTCGCAGTCAGGGCTCAACTGTTTTCTCAAAATGACCAGAGAGTAATGTGTGTGGAGACAAGGGGTGTCCTTCACACGTACACTGAAGTGGACAGAACAGGCATAGTGGTTTCCTAACGTTTTCGGGCTGCTCAGATCGGAATTAACTGCAGGAAATATTGATGTTCTTGATCTCTTAAAATGTCTTGGTATTTGCTTCCCTTGTCTGCTTTCCTGATTTATCAGGAAACTTACTAAAGTGCTAAACAGATTACTAGGATTTTCAGTCTAAGCCAGCTGCCAACAACAAAACCAAAACACCAGAAGCATAGTTTTAGCAAAAGATTTGAGAGTCCCGAGCGAAGGCTGCATAGTGCAGTGGCCCTGGGGGGAGGGATTGGAAAACAAAGAATTTTTCTTTTTAAAGAGAAGAGTGTACTGGGGGAGGGGTGGGCAGGGAGGAAAGAGTAACAATGAATGAATGGAAATCCAAAGTCTCTGTACATTTTCATTAAAATTAATGATAATAAAAATATTTGAGATAGAATATGAGAGGGTAAAGGATGGAGGGAGTGAGGATTGCAGTGTTTACACTGTGGATGTAAACTAATCTGACTGTATCCTAAATTGGTTATGGTGCTTGGGCAACATTACTTTTCCAAACTGGAGAAACTAAGGAAGTATTTGAGTCTGTGTTTATCTTTTATTACTAGAAAATATTGATTTTTAAATTTGTTCTCCATGCATTTTTAGTGAAAGCTTTGCTGTTTCACATAGAAATTGACTTGGTGCATTTTACTCACTTTCTTCTTTTTCCTGCTAGTCAATATTTGTGTTTATAATAGAACTTTTCTTAAAACTGATGATTTGTGAAATTAAAAGTTAGCTGCCAGAAAACTGGGCTCAGTCTTAATATTTTGCCCTAAAATGGTATAATTATTGCCATATCCATCGTTTGATATAGAACTCACAGTTCATTCTTTTCATGATAATGATTAGAATTTTTTTTTTCATTCCTTTCTCATCAAAATTTAGAAAAGTTTAAGTAAGCTCTGAGATTCGATAAGGGCAAGGCGCAACTGCTATTTGAAGTGCTTCTTTTGAAATATTTTTTCACTGCAGTTTTTGAGAAAGGGGAAAGTCCAAAGTCATTATTATATAATGCTTAATTGAAACATGTGCTAGTGAGATCTCAAGATAATAAGCTTGTATCTAAACCCAGCTATATTAAAGTAGGTGAATTTAAAAAGTGAGTTAAATGAATATATAAATTATATTGTCTACCCATATTCTAAAAGAGAACTATTACTCCAACCTGTAATTACTTGAGACTCACATAAAATTAAATGCATTTTTTTTTCCCTAGGCGACCTCTATAAATGCAGCTCTGGTACTGATGCCAAGACTAAAACTGTGTTATTGATACAGATGATCTTGTTTTAGAAAACAACCAGTAGAATGAAAGTTTCTCTAGTCTTGTTGTGTCTGGGGATCTGTCACGTATTGTAAAATACCTAATTCATAATTAAGATTGACTCACAGTGTGTTTATCCTTTCAGTTCAGAGGTTCTTGCATCTATTGAGAACATTATCCAGGGCATAATTGAAAGCCTGGCAAGAAATGAAGCACCTGCCTTCTTGATAGACAACAGATCCAGCTGGGAGAATATACAGTGGGCATTGTGCATTTTTATTTTTAAATGCTGTATCTGTGTCATTGTTTGAACTTATTTAAATCAGAGTTTTAATCAGACATAGATTTACCCTGCAAAAAAAAATTAAGAATATTTATAAACGATACTATTGTTGTGTTTTAAACATTTATAAACCATACTGTTGTTGTTGTTGTATTTTAAACGTTTATAAAGCATACTGTTGTCAAGTTGAAACCAGTCATAACTGACCCTCCAGCAGGTTTTCAGAGGCTGTAACCTGAGGAGGAGACTGTCCATCCTGCTTCCAGGAGCAGCTGGTGGGTTTGAACTGTCTGCCTTTCAGTTTGTAGTGCAACTCCTCACCACTGGTCCCAGTTATATGAACTAGAAGGCTACGGTCACTGACTTGATTTACATTCCCAGCAGCCTCCCATGGCTGTGCAGAACTGCCCCACCACCAGGCTCAATATAAACTAGGGGAAAAAGCCAACAAAACACAAAACTCACTGCCATCAAGTCAGAACTGACTCAGCTGACCATCTACCAGGATTTTAGAGGCTATTAAATTGCTCTAGAAGAGATTGTCCCTCTTCTGAAAGACCACTGGTGGGTCTGAACCACCACAAGGCACCCCCTTTGGGTGAGTCGCCCATTAGGCCACCAGAGCTCCCTTGTAAACTACAAGTAGGTGCGAAAGAGCAGGCAAAGGAAAAGCGGTGTTGTCTTACAGGTACATGCGTGACAGCAGACAGCAGGGTTTTCTTGGATGTAGTCTTCTGATGGTGAGCTGTATGGTGCACTGCTCACCTAAAGATTAACAACTTAATCTATCAACTGCTCTGCATGAGAAAGCTGGTCAGTCAGTCTCTTTCTAGAAAGCTTGACTGCCTCAGAAACCTGATGGGAGGTCACCATGTCTTGGAACATATAGTAGTCATCCAGAGAAGCGAGTTTGGGTTGATTTGGTATTAATATTTATGGAAGCAGATCTCTCAACTCTGTCTCCAGTGGAAACTGTAGCCACAAGCTCATCTGTTGAACCATAAGGATTTGTTACAAAATGGTAATAGTATTGCTAGAGACATAAAGTGGAGCATCAAAAAAGGTTAGGATCAAAGGGTATATGATGAAGCCTTATACTCACTGTGGTCAGGTCTGTTCCAACTCACAGTGGCCATGGAGCTCATAGCTTCAAAGACTGTAAATCTTCATGGAAGCAGACTCACATCCTTCTCCCATAAGGCTCAAACTGTCAACATTTTGATTAGGAGCAGACGACCTTACCCATAATACCTTGAAGCCCTCAGATAAAGGCTTCAAAGCTGAAGCCTTCATAGTGCTCAACGTGGGAAATGTGATCAGTGGAATGCTTCTCCACTGATCAGATATTGCAGAAGCAAACCATTTTTTTCAGAGAAACTACAACCAGAACTAAGACCAAAATAATTATATTCTGAACACAGCAGAACAGTGTAAATTCTCTTGCAGGATTGGCTCCTGCTGCTATGACATATGTCTAAGAAGAGAAAGCCAACAAAGAACCTCCTCAAAGTTGCTGAGGCTACTGAACAGAGTTTACTCTTCAGACTTTCAACCTGTAGAATCTTCTCTACTAAATAATAAACAACACTGTACAAATTACTCTTGTGTTTTGTAAAAGAGCCACAGAAACAGGAAAAAGTCATTTGTGCATCCTTAGTCATGAAATAAGGAAGCTCTTGTGGCCTAGTGGTAAAGAGTTTGGCTGCCATCTCTAGGCACACGGTTCAAATCCACCAGCTTCTCCAAGGGAGAAAAATGGGCAGCCTCTTCCCATGTGATTTCCTGCCTCTGAAAAACCCACCAGAGGGCCAGCTGTGAGTGGGTTCTGACTTGATGACACAGAAGAACAACAACACTAAATCATTAAATGATGGCCCTGAGTGGACCACACTGTCCACACTGTTTACTGATCTGAAAGTCGGTGGTTTAAGATCACTCAGCTGTGGTAGAAAGTTCTGGCAATCTGCTTCCATAAAGCCAGAGAAACCCCAGCAGTTCTGCTCTGTAACATGTGGGGTCGCCATGAGTCAGGGATCAATTTACAGCAATGGGCCAGTCACTAAAAAATCTTTAATTATTAAAATACCTAATGTGAAAGAGTTCTGAACCATACTTAAAAAATAGTATTGTGTTTTCACCAAAGATGAGGTTCTCATTAGACAATTTGCACACAGACTGTTCAGTAGTGACTTTAGTTATATTTTTCACAAGTGTTCACATTCTCTGTACTTACTCTGAGTGTTCTGTTTCCTATACTCCTGTCACCCTCTGACTGCTTATCTTCTCATATTTAGAATAACTGTTGACTTTCTTGTCTTGGATTTTCTTTAATGGAGCCCTGTACTCATAATATCGTGTGTGTGTGTGTGTGTGTGTGTGTGTGTGTGCGTGTGTGCGCGCGTGTGCCTGTTACTTCACTGAAAGGTCAATTTTGGTTCAGGGCTTAAAGAGTTAGTCTCTTAGGATGATAGACCCAAGAAGTCTGGAGACTGAGAGTAAGTTGGAATTTTTAAAAATCTGCATTTTTTTCTGCTGTGGCTTTCCTCAGAATGGTCAGTAATGAGCACCATCTACTTCAAATACTTCAAATATTCTAAGAGGTGGATTTCATCCAGTCTTCAAACCCTTGACCTTTGGCTTCTTGGCTTGGTGCATTCTGCCACCTTTAGGGCAGGCTTGGCAGTTCTGCTTAACAGCAGACATTATTTCATTTCATGTAACTTTGTATTAAATCAGATCAGGATTGTAACATTTCAAAACAAACAATTATGAAAATGAAAAAAAATGTTAAATATTTATAAACATTTTATATGTATTTATATATGACATGTCTCACAGTAAAAGGTATGATGACCCCTTGGGAGGTCCCCTGCAATTTACAGTCTGCTGGCTGGTCAGCTATGAGTCAGTTCCCACTTGATGGCGATGCGTTGAGTTTGAGAGGGTTTTTTAAAACTTTTCTCTTGTACCTCTGAATATCACAATGGTAACTGCCTCCTGCAATGATCTAATAGATCTTAAATGACCTAGTTTAAAGACTTCAGGTGCATCTGATTCAGGTCATGATCATTCTGCTTACTTCTGATGCACCTGAAACCTTGACAGCAAGTAAGGGTGACAGCAGAAGAACTGATGCCTTTGAGCTGTCGTATTGGAGAAGAGTATTGAACATCCCATGGATGGCCAAACGAACAAACAAATATAGCTTGGAGAGGGTGCAGCCAGAGTGCTCCTTGGAGGCAAAGATGATAAGGCTCTGTCTCACATATTTCAGGCATGTTGTTAGGAGAGGTTATTCCTTGGACAGGGACATCATCCTTGGAAAGGCGGAAGACCATCAACCAGGTGGATTGACACGGTGACTGTGCAGTGGGCTCTAGTGTTGTGAAGATGGCACAGGACAGGACAGGGTTCAGATCTTTCATTTATCTGGTCGCAATGGTCAGACTCAATGGCATATAATAATGATCTAAGTTTACAAAGAAATGACTCTAAAGCTTTCATTATTACATTTAAAGGATTTGTGAAACACAAAAAACATGAACAAGAGTACATTAATTATTAATAGTTTGATGCTCAGAATAGAGATTTTTTCCATTTTATTCCCTTTTTAAAAAAAATGACAGGTTTGAAGATTCTGTGGGTCTGCAAATGATATCTAATTGCTCCACCAGAAAAATCAGAAGTGACTCACCAAAATCAGCTCAGAATTTTGGTAAATTAAACTTTCTTGACTTTTAAATATTAAAAAACCCTCAATCACCATATTTTGCTTCCTTTTCCTTTTTAGATATTCCTAATTCAATAATTTAACTGTTGCCTTTTTTAAAAAAATTTTAAAAATGCCTTTGAGTTGGAGCCAGCTCATAGCTGACCATCCAACAGTTGCTCAGAGGCTGTAAATCACAAGAGAGGAGACTGTCCATCTAACTCTTCTACCTAACTTTTCTGTTTTGGAAAAATTAAAATGTATAAAAAGTAACTGGGGACCATGAATAATGTTTGGGGTTTTTTCCCATTTGACACTTGTATATTTTAAAGTTAATAATTTTGGGAGTTTCTGTTTGCAGGATCTTTGAATTCATGAGAGAATGATGAATAACTTGTTTACCACATCGTTTTACAGCTCTGATTCTTAAAATATTGTCCATGATTTATAAGTTAGTACAGAGCAACACTTATGCAACCAAAAGGTAAGTATGTCATCTGGCGATTATTCCTTAAAATGCAACGTGATATTTAGATAGAATAACTTGTAATTTGCTTTCAAAATTGCCTAAGACTACCCTATGGGTAATAAGTTGTTAAGTATGATCTGTTTAATTTAGTTAACATTTTCTTCACATAAGATTTTTTATGTGTCATATACATAGAGAATGTCATTAATTACAAACATATTTTTTACATTTTCATAGAGACATATATTACACAGACAGCCAACTCTTTGGTAACCAGACTGTTGTGGACAATATAATCAATGATGTTTCTTGTATGTTAAAAGTGCCGAGGAGAAGTCTACATATAGTAAGTTAGCAACAAGCACAAATCAGCTTATTTTCAAGCAAAATCTTTGCGTAAAAATTGTAATAAAAATATATTCCGTGCCTTCTTTTGATAATATTTAATGCTGTATTCTCACTACAAATCTAAATGATCTGTTTTCAATAGATCTCCTTGGATGAATGAACTAAAACATGAATTACCATTTAGTCTCAATTCCTAAATTCCCTTAGAAAGTTTCTCTTTTGTTTCACAAATCGCAGACTGAGTGAAAACATGTAGCTTTGCAGCTGAACATGAGGAATGACTTAACAACATAAAATATATTCGTGAAAACAGTTTCAAACTTACTCTGTTTCAGTTGTCTACATCAAAAGGCTTAATTGCTGGCAGTTTGAGCTACATTGAGGAGGACGGCACCAGAGTGAACTGTACGGGCTGCTCAACAGTAAGCAGTACTCATGTTCTCCTCCCCGTCACACCCTTCGTTTCTGGAATACAGTCGAGGTCATGTTTAGTTATAGAATTTAGTATTTAAGATTTGAAAAGAAAGCGTATAACCATATGGGCTGTGTGTTACCTGGTTTCAAAATATGCCAACTGCCAAACGTCATGTTGAGTCAAACATATGTGTACATTCCTTTCAGCCGTGTGCTGCTATATAGGCATGTCCTGGTGAGGTTGTGGGTTCAATCCCAAACCAGTGCAGTAAGGGGACTAGCGCAATAGAGCAGTCACACGGATGCTTCGGTTTCTCAGTGCCTCATCGACTACATTGTACTGAAGTTTGGAGTACTGTGAGAATCCCCAACAGTGAGCACATGGGAAATGGCCCCACAGTCTCATCTCAGGCATTATTGCCTCAAACCTTTAGTTTGTAAAGACACAGTATCTGCTGAGAGTCATAAAGCAAAGCACAGTATAATGAGTCAGGCCTGTGATCAGGTGGAACACAATGCTGTTTTGTTAAGTACCATCGAGTTGGAGTGACTCTGACAGTGGGCTCTAGTGTGGCAGAGATGAAGACGATGGCACAGCTTAGGGCACGATTCAGATCTGTGTTCATCGAGTTACTATGAGTCATACTTGACTCGAAGGCACCTAACAACAATAACATGAAGTCAGAACCAGCTGTCCCTCCAGCAGGTTTTCAGAGGCAGTAAATCGTACCAGATGAGACTGCCTATCTTCCACCTTCAGAGTGGCTGGTGGATTTGAACCATGTTCTTTTGGGTTGGCAGTGCAACTCCTTACTACTAAGCCACCAGAGCTTGTTTCCTAAAACTTTCTGATTCCAAAAGTAAAATATTCCAATGCTAAACAACTTGGTCTGAGGTCTGTATTGTAGATAGCACAGTTGTTCACCAGGTTGCCAGTTGGGTTGAAGAAGTTGATGCCAACGGGCATCAGGGAGGTCTTGTTCACCTTTGTCAAGTTCTGCTTTTGAATCTCTGTCTCCAGAGCTTCCTTGAAGCTCCTACATGCTGTTCAGTTGGTAGAGCTGTGCATCTTTTCTTACTGAGTGCTAGATCTGAATCCTCACTTAGGACTAAATCTCCGATGATGGGTGAGTTGAAAGAAAATGAAGACAGATTTCAGGGGTAGATCATATAGTGTGGTTATGCTTGCTTACTATTTAAACAAACAAACAAACATAACGTTATTGTTTTGTTAACTTAGGGTGTTGCTGTGCCTTCTAACATTCAAGGACTTCGAAGTATCCTTTGAATGGGAAAACAAAACTTTTAGAATGATTCTTCACTTGTTCGTTGAGTAAACCAAACCTTTATTACAAGCAAAGAACAGGTTAGGCCCACTAGCACCAGAATGAACGTGGCTTCTTCCCTCCTCCTAGTACCTTCCAGCCTAGAGGAGACAGGTGTCTATGCATATGCATAGGCAGCTGCTTTATATACTTAAAGGCAAGATTAAAATGCCATAGTTATAGCTGTTTTCCACTTGAACTGTGTATACTATTATTTCAGTTAGCGGGTAAATGAAAATATTCTTAATATTTTTGATTCAGCCTTAACTTCACAGATATCATTACAGATGCAAAATTCCTATTAATTGTAGAAAAAGATGCAACATTTCAGCGCCTCCTAGATGATAACTTTTGCAGCAAGATGTCTCCGTGCATCATGGTTACGGTATGCTGCCTGCCTCTCCTCTGATCCCACACTGACATGTCCCACTATGGTGATTGGTCAACGGGGCTCAGAGCGTCACCCGTGAACATGGACAACATTGTGTCCTCAGAACTAGAAGCATCACCAAGCAAGAATATCCAAGGTTTTCGTTAGACCTCTCAATCCTTAAACAGCTCACAAGTGAGTTTCTCACAGTGGGCTGAGCGCAGAGTCACCCTCACCCCACTCTCACTGGGGCTTCTGGCTCTTGCATATTGTGGTAACGCAGTGAGTAAGGTATTCAGCTGCTAACCATAGGTTAAGCTACTTGAACCAGCAGTTCAAGCCCCACAGCTGCTTCACAGGAGAAAGAGTATTCGGCCATCGGCTTCCATAATGACTAGAACCCTGGTGGGCAGCTTCACTCCGTCTGACAAGGTTGCTTGGGTGGGAATTGATTCAGTGGTCCTGGTTTTGTTTTGTCCGGTTGGTTTTGGCTCCTTTTTTTGTGTACCGGGTAATCCCATTAACTCATTCAAAAGCAGCTGACTTTTAAAAAAAATAAATAAATAAACATCAACATTCAGAGAACAGAGAGGCCTGCTTTGGGATGCAGAGAGTGGTGAGGATGGTGCCATGCAGGGAGCTTGGGCAGCAGTTAGTAATGTGTTCTGAATTACTTCGTTAAGCAATTACTGCTTTCAAGACTTTGTAAAATCATCCCATCATTTAGCGTTTATCAAACCTAAATTTAAGCAAATGAAGCATTCTTCTACCTGCTTTATGATTATTAAATAACTTTATTCCTGTACTGTGGGAGGATATAAAGAATATCATCCATAATGAATGCAAAAGGTCATTACAAAGATGGAGGAAGAAGAAGACAAAATAGATGTCAGCAGAGAATCTGGGTATTGCACTAGAGCGACAAGAAGCCAAAGGAAAGGGAAGAAACCAGGAATTTAAGGAGCTGAATAGAAGAGTTCAAAGGGCAGCTTGGGAAGACAAGGCAAAGTATTGTAATAAAATATGCAAGGAGTTGGAGTCAGAAAATGAAAAGAGCCAAACTTGCTCAGCATTTCTTAAGCTGAAGGAACCAAAAAAACCAAATTCAAGCCAATACGTTGCAATACGTAAGGATGCTATGGGCAGAATAGTGAATGATCCAGGAAGCAATAAAAGGAGATGGAAGGAGTATACACAGTCATTGTAACAAAAAGAATTGGCTGACACAAAAGTATTTCAAGAAACAACATACAATCAAGAGACAATGCTGATAAAGGAGAAAGTGCAAGCTGCTTTAAAGGACTTGGGGGGGGGGGAATAAGGCCCAGAAACTGGTGGAATACCAATTGATATATTTCAACAGACGCTTCCCTGGATGTACTCATCAGGTTGTGCCAAGAAATCTGGAGGACAACTACCTGGTCAACTGACTGGAAGAGATCCATATTTATTCCCATTCCAAAAATAGGTGACCCAAGAGAGTGTGGATATTACTGAACAATATCACTAATATCACATGCAAGCAAAATCCTGCTGAAGATTATCCAAAAATTACTGGAACAGTACATTGACAGAGAATTACCAGAAATACAAACTGAGTTTAGAAAAGGTCATGCCATTAGAGACATTATCACCAATGTCAGATGGATCTTGAAAGAAAACAAAGAGTACCAGAGGAATATTTATCTGTATTTAATTGACTATGCAAAGGCATTTGACTTTGTGAATCACAACAAATTGTGGTTAACGTTGAGAAGAATGGGAATTCCAGAACACTTGATTTGCTTATACAAAACCAATACTTGGACCAGGAAGCAGTCCTTAAAAAAAAAAAAAAAAAAAGGAAGCAGTCCTTAGAACAAAGCAGGGAAACACTGCATGGTTCAATATCAGGAAAGGAGTATGTCAGAGATGCATCTTGTCTCCATACCTCTTCAATCTGTATGCTGAACAGGTCATTCAGGAAGCTGGGCCTTATAAGGAGGAATGTGGCATCAGGACTGGAGAAAGACTCATCAACAACCTATGTTATGCAGAAAACACAATCTTTCTTGCTGAAACTGAGGAAGGCCTGAAGTGCATGCTGCAGAAGGTCAAGGATTGTAGTCTTCAATATGGATTGAAACTCAACATCAAGAAGACAAAGATTCTCATCACTGTGCCAATTGGCAGCACCATGATAGATGGAGAAGAGATTGAGGTTGTTAATAATTACAGATTGCTTGACTCCACAATCAACATTCTTGGCACCAACATTCAGGAAATCAAAAGACAAATGGTGCTGGGAAAATCTGCTGCCAGGGACCTCTCCAGAGTACTGAAAAGCAACTATGTCAGTCTAGAGACTAAAGTGCACCTGGTCCAGACCATGGTCTTCACCGTTACTTGCTATGCACCAGAAAGCTGGACAATGATTAAGGATGATAGAAGAAGAATTGATACTTTTGAGTTGTGTTGCTGGAGAAGAGTCTTGAACATACTATAGACCACCAAGAAAATTAATAGGTCTGTCTTGGAGAGGGTGAAACCAAGTTTCTCCTTGGAGGCTAGGATTTTGAAGCACCTGGCATGTGGCCGGGAGGGACTAGTCCTTGGAGAAGGGCATTATGCTCGGAAGGTTGGAGGGACAGCGCAGAAGAGGAAGACCCTGGATGAGATGGATTGATAATGTGTCTGGTATATCGGAGTCAGTGAGACTGGATCAGGACAAGACAAGCTTCAGAGCTGTTGTATGAAGCGCCGGACACTTGAGGTACATAACAACAACACTCCTATGTAGGGTTTCAGGGTAAGTATTGTTATGTGGCCTCGAGTTGGTTTTGAGTCATAGCAGCCTCCTGTGACAGAGTAGAGCTGCCCTGCACGGTTTCCTTTCTCGCACATACTTTGGTCGTCTTGTCAGGGTCAGTTCCAGAGAAAGGCATCTATTAAATAAAGTAGAAGGTGAACGAAAAGGAGGAAGACCCTCAAGGAGCTGGACACTCGGCCACGGTAAGGGCTCCGGCACCAGCACCGGTGAGGACAGTGAGCTGGATTTCATTCTTGTACAGAGTAGTTATGAGTTGTAGGTCACTTGATGGCACCGAACAACGACCGTCTTTCTGGGAGATTTCTAGCTCAGTGGACTTGTACCAGTTAGCGGTGAGACACTTAACCGCCGCACCATCAGGACTGTCAAGGTGCTGCATTTTACAGATGAGCAAGGCCACAGAAGGTCACCGTGCTTCTCAGGGTCATCCTGCAAGACTTAGATTGTTCATAGTAATTCTGGTAATATTTGTTGTTTGCAGTCATTTTAAATAACGCTACAGTGAGTATCTTTAAGCGCATGAAGGTGTTTGTTTTTGAGGAAGTATTTCCCTTGGACCACTGTCTAGGAGTGGGATCACCGAGCCAAAGGTGTGAGCGCATGTAGGTTCCTGCGCTCCACAACCCCACAGCCCTTCAAAGCCTGAGGATTTAGCTGTTAGATCCGTAATAAAACAAGGTCTAGTCTAGTAGATTTCTGTTCTGCTAAGAACACAATGTACCATTTCCACCTCACTTTTAGGGGAAGGGAGTACCTGACCTGAACACTAGGCTTCTGGTCCGGAAGCTGTGGGACTCGTTTCACATCCCACCGTTCACGCTTGTCGATGCAGATCCGCATGGTAAGTTCTCACTGGATGACTTGACAGAAGAGCAGGATTCTGCTTTCAGCACTCTTTTTGCAAGTTACATAAGGCTATTATTATTATTATTATAAAAATTAAGCATTTACTCATTTGAGGAAATGTAGTGCTTTTTGGGTCATGTTATACTGAGAAATATTTTTCATCAACAATGTCCTTAAAAATAAAAATTGCACATGTCAGATGAAATTTGAAAGTGCAAATGATCTAACCAGTGTGGTATAAGAAGACTGATTTTAGGACTGACTTTCTTTTAACAGGCATAGAAATAATGTGCATCTATAAGTATGGATCTATGGTAAGTATAGCAGCATATTTTTTTATTCCACTACAAACATGTTTCATGTTAGTGTGCTCACTTTATTGCACGTCACAGATGCCGTAGATTTTACAAATCAAAGTTTTGTGGCCACCGTGCATTGAGCAAGTCCATGGGCTTCATTTTCCTCAACAGCAGGTGCTAAGTTTGTGTCTCTGTGTCACATTTTGGTAATTCTTACAACATTTAACATTTTTCCGGAATGTGGTTGCATACTAACTAGGGTCTATTATAGTGTAAATACAACTTAGATGCCCCAGGAACCAAATGATGCATGTGGCTTGCCTCATTGCAGCCTTTGCTCTGTGGTAACCCGGAAATGCATCCACAGTGCCTCCATTGTACGCCTGTACTCAGAAATGTTCTGTTCAATTTATGCACAGACTGGTAATTCTTTAGTAACATGAGGTCTCCCCAAAACGTGTTCCAGAGGGGCCCCTAACCTAGTGCAGGGCCAAGGCATCATCTCAGTGGTTGTACCTTCTCTCCAGCATGTCAGTGTGGCCTCAGATGACAGGTGGGCAAGAGGCACTGTGACACTCCCTGGCCTCTCTCGTGACTGTGGGCCCAATGTAACAACAGGCAGTCTGATTGCCAAATACACTCTGAGAGTTACCAGATGGTCTTGGTTTCTGACCTCTGTGTGTGGTGTTAAGTGCCGTCAAGTCGCAGGCGACTCATAGTGACTCTATGAACGAAAGTCCTGGACACCTCCTGTATAACTTTTATCCTCTCTTCAGGTTCATAGGGTTTCCAGAGGCAAGCTATTATGGAAGTGGATGCCACTCCTGCTTCTAAGCCTGTTTTAATCTTGGAGCTTCACCAAACACTGTCCACCATGGGTAACCATTCTCGCATTTGACTCATCAGTGTCACACATAACCTTGGAATGCCAATTAGGGTGCTGTGAGTCAGAACCAAGGTTATGACAGTGACTTTGAGGGTTTTGTTAGCTTAAGGGTGTTTTTTTTTACCCACTTTCTGAACAAATACAGTCATTCAGGTAACAACAGTTATTACCTGGGCTTGCTGAAGAGAAGTAAAGCGGTCCCAGCTGACCAGAGAAGTCATTCTGCCTTTCTGAGCCTGCCACGCAGCTGCCAACCAGGCAGGTAGGGTCTCAGCAGGGGCTGTGTGAATGAGCTGCAGTCTGGCATCCATGGCCTGTTCCCTACATGCAAAAAAGCTGTCTGTGTACAAGTCCAGCAGGAAGGCCTGGTAGGCATTCCTATTCATTCTCTTTTCTCCCCCCTAAGGAGAAATGAAACATCACCAGTCCATTGCAAGAGACTGTGACCATCCTCCAGCTTGGCTTCTCAGAGTCCCAGCCCAGGACCAGCCGCATTATTTTTACCTGGCTGCCCCCTTGGCCTAGGGTCAGACGTTCTAGGGGTGGTTTCCTTCTCTGCTCCTGAGGCTGGCTGGGGATGGGGAACACTGTTTAGACACCTAAAGTGTCCCAGGGTGTCCTGTTTACCTTCACAGCTGATGAGCAGGTGGCAGAGCAAGGTGTCAGACCATGAGTCACAAAGAATAATGAGTGTGGGTCAGGCAGCTCCGTTTACAGTTTGTCCTCATGGATGGGAAATTGATGCAGAAACCCCGAGGAGAGGCTTTGAGAGCATCACTGGAAGATCAACTGAGCAAAGCTTCCAGGGATTCTGGGGACATGCAGTTAGCCATAGTGCTGGTGCTTGTGTGCTGTCAAGTGGGTTCTGAGTCACAGTCACACCACGGACCTTCTCGATTAACAGCTGTTTTAATGACTGAGTCACCAAGGCTCCTTTTAGTCTTTCTCCTTCCTCGTGTTTTGGTGGCATAGTTTATAGGAAGTTGGGCTGTTAGCCCCGAAGTGACATCTCTCTAGCAGTTCAAATACAACAGCTGCTCCCAGGGAGAAATATGGGCAATCTCCTCCTGTGTGGTTTACAGCCTCTGAAAACCTGCTGGAGGGTCAGCTTTGAAAATATCCCAACTCCACGGAACTGAGTTTGTTGAGAATTCCTAATAAACAAAACTATGCTAGTTTTCCAGTATTGATCAAGGCTCAGTGTCAAGAAGACAAAGATTCTCACCACTGAACCAATTGGCAGCATCAGGATGGATGGTGAAGAGATTGAGATTGTTCACAGCTTTAGTTTGCTTGACTCCACAGTCAACACTCTTGGCACCAGTCGCCAGGAAATTAAAAGGCGCATTGCCATAGAAAATTCTGCTGTCAGGGACCTCTCCAAAGTACTGAAGAGCAACAGTGTCTCTCTGGAGACTAAGGTGCATCTGATACAGGCCATGGTCTTCACAATCACTTGTTATGCATCAGAGAGTTGGACAATGACCAAGGAGGATAGAAAGACAAACAGATTCATCCTGGAAAGGGTTAAACCAGGTGGCTCCTTGGAGGCAAGGATTATGAGGCTCCATCTAACATACTTTGGACATGTTGTGAGGAGAGACCAGTCCTTGGAGAAGGACATCATGCTTGGGAGGGTGGAGGGACAGCGCAGGAGGGGAAGGCCCTCTATGAGGTGGATTGATTCAGTGACTGGGGTAATCGGGATGGGAGTGTCAGAGACATTGCTATTGGCACAGGACAGAGCAGAGTTTAGGGCTGTTGTACATAGGGTAGCTATGAGTTGCAAGCGACTCGATGGCATATAACAACAACAACATGCTAGTTTTCTGCAATTTAACCAGACCTAATACACTTTTCCTCTTTGTTTTAGTCTATGTCTTTTGAAGCCCACAACCTCACAGTTCCAGCAATTAGATGGCTTGGTCTCCTTCCCTCGGATATTAAAAGGTCAGATGGCTTAGCAGAATATGTATATATAAAATGAGGAGTCATTAAACTATCAATAATAATCTTTAAATCCTACAAAGACTAGTTCTTAGTGTTGTTTTTCTTTGTCCACTGTGAACCAGAAGTATGTAATTATTAATTTAATTAATTGCTGTTTCTTTTTCTATTAAAAACTTTACAAAGTTGGCCAATTGAACTTTTAGTTAACTAGAAAACATGTTTATTTTTACTTTTTATGGTTGAAATATTTTGTAAAGATTTCATAGTTAAAAAGGATACTGTAGCTCCCATCTGCCGCACTTAAGCAAGATGAATTCCTCCAGCCTGCTCTGCTGTTCGGCTGGGTTGTTCACCATCTGCATGTTCCTAGTCCATGAATACAGCCCACAAGGAAAAATGGCACATGTGTGGAGAAGCTCCAGAGGAGGATTGAAGCCAATGGCTGGATGGGAGAGTCAATTTGGACCTGGACTTTCCAAATCTGCCACGTCTTGTGGACGAGAAGAACAAGAGGCTCCAGAGCAATGGCATCTTGCACTACGCTGTTCACAAACACAATATGTGTGGTGAGAAAGAAGAAAAGATTCAGGTGGACATCATAAAGAACCAAGTAATGGATCTCCACATACAACTTACACAACTCAGCTATGGCCCCGACCCTGAAAACTTGAAGCCTCGGTACTTGGAACAGCTACCTGGACCACTAAACTAGTTCTCTTCGTTCCTAGGGAAATTCTGGTTTGCAGGGAAAATGCTCACCTTTGTGGACTTTCTCACCTGTGATGTCTTGGATCAGAACCACACATTTGAACCTGAGTACCTGGGTGAATCCCCAGATCTGAAGGCTTTCATGTGCTGTTTGGAGGCTTTGGAGAAAATAGCTGCACACATGCAGTCTGACTGCTTCTTCAAGATGTCTGTCGACAAGATGGCCCAGTGTGGCAACTAGAGTCTGTGCTACGCAGGAGGCTTGTCTTTTTCCACCTTAGTTAATGGGGACCTTGTCTTCTGTCTTCTCAATAGCATTTAGGAAAAAAATAAAAACCCAAAACAACCAAACCCAATAACTACACTATATTTGTTGTTGTTGTTGTTATGTGCCGTTGAGTCACCTGTGACTCATTGCAACCCTATGTACAACAGCCCTAAACCCTGCTCTATTCTGTGCCAACCTCACTGTCTCTGATACACCCACCCCGATTATCCCAGTCATAGAATCAATCCATCTCATAGAGGGTCTTCCTTCCTGCGCTGTCCCTTTACCCCCCCCAAGCATGACGTCCCTCTCCAAGGACAAGTCCCTCCTTGCAACATGTCCAAAGTATGTCAGACAAAGCTTCAGAATCCTTGCCTCCAAGGAGCAGCCTAGTTTAACCCTCTCTAGGACTAATCTGTTCATTTTCTTATCAGTCCATGGTATATTCAATACTCTTCTCCAACACCACAGCTCAAAGGCATCAATTATCCTTCGATCAACCCTAGTCATTGTCCAGCTCTCTGACACATAGCAAGCGACTGCAAAGACTATGGCCTATATCAGGTGCACCTTAGTTTCCAGAGTGACATCATTGCTCTTCAGTACTTTGGAGAGGTCTCTAATAGCAGACTTTCCAAGCACAATACATCTATTAATTACCTGGTTGCTTGTGCCAAAACTGTTGATTGTGGAGCCAAGTAAACTAAAGATGTTAACAATCTCCGTCTCTTCATCATCTATCACGATGCTGCCAATGGGCCCATTGGTAAGAATCTTTGTTTTCTTGATATTGAGACTCAATCAATATTGAAGGCTACAGTCCTTGACCTTCTGCAGCAAGTGCTTCAGGTCCGTTTCAGTTTCAGCAAGAAGGGTTGTGTAATCTGCATAAGAAAGATTGTTGAGGAATCTTCCTCCAATCCTGATGCCACATTTTTCCTCATACAGCCCAGCCTCCTGGATAATCTGTTTTGCATATAGATTTAAAAGGTATGGCGATAGGACACATCCCTGGCATACACCCTTCCCAATTTTGAACCATACAGTGTTTCCTTCCTCTGTTCTGATGACTGCCTCCTGATCCAAGTATAGGTTCTGCATAAGCACGATCAAGTTCTGGGATTCCAATTCCTTCCCATTCTTCTCAGAGTTAGCCAGTTTGTTGTGATCCACACAGTCAAATGCCTTTGTATAATCAATGAAACACAGATAGACATTCCTCTGGTATTCCTTGCTTTCAGCCAAGATCCATCTGACATTAGCTACAATGTCCTTAGTACCATGACCCCTTCTAAAGACAGCCTGCACTTCAGGCAGTTCTCTGTTGATGTGCTGTTCCAGTTGTTTTTTGGATAATCTTCAGCAGAATCTTGCTTGCATGTGATATTAATGAGATTATTTGATAATTTCCACACTCTGTTGGATTATCTTTCTTTGCAATCGGAACAAATATAGATCTCTGCCAGTCAGTTGACCAAGCAGTTGTCCTCCAGATTTCTTAGCATAACTTGGTGAGCACATCTGGGGCAGCATCTATTAGCTGAAATATGTCAATTGATACACCATCAATTCCTGGGGCCTTATTGTATGCCAATTCTTTCAAAGCAGCTTGAACTTCTTCCTTCATCACCATAGGCTCTTGCAGATACTACATTTAGTATAATTAAATAATTATTATTGATATCGTATTTTATGTTCCATAGCAGATATAAGAAATCATTCTGCATATGAATAAATTCTTTAATAGGTTTAAAGTTTTAATTTTATAAAATAGATCTAATACTGAGTTTACTTAAAGGCAGAAGCCTGAAGATTGGAAAATTTAATGCTGATTCATTATAGCAAAGATCGTTAAGAAACAAGACAAAACTCGCCTACAGATGAGTACCTTCCAGCAGCCTCCTAGATTACTTCCTGTACACAGCTATACTTTTTCACAAAAAATGGGATTGTGTTCTGTGATTTTGTGATCTGGTTCTCCCCACAGCACAATGTGATCACTTTCCTGTGGAAATAAACACATTTCTCTTCTGTGACCTCACTGGAGTGACTTGTTACTGAGGCCCCGGCTGGGAGGTGCAGTCTTTGCTGAGTCAGTCCCTCCTAGCTGGACGGAGCTGGTCTCCCTGCTCTCACAGGTGGCACTCTGATGGAGGAGCGTGTAACCAAATCTTGCCCAGATCTTTAATTAGTCCCTCAGGCTGAATTCCAGGGAGAATTGCAGGGTCAGAGCTGTGCACACTGGAAGAAGACTTCGCCACTCCCTGCAGAGCTGGCCTCTTCTACTCTCCTTCCCAAGAGGAAGAGGCCACCTGCCTTCAGCACAGGGCACCGTCACAGAGTTTTCATCTCTGATAATGCGATGTCTTAAAGTTATCCATCTGTAGTGATTGGTTGGTGAGCGTCCACTGGATTTCCTGAAGCAGTGTGCATCCTTGGACACAGGGACTTCTTAAATAGAGAGCTATAGAGATGCACAGGTGTGAGGCTGCTGGTCTCTTACGGAACAAAAGCATAAGAACAAAGCAAGCATTTTAGATTGCTGGCTATGAGGAAGGTCAGCTATGACTCAGTTTTTACTTCATAGAACATAACAGCAACAGTGAATCAAAGCTTTGTACCGTTTAGTACACCTATGTGTCATGGTCAAACGCCTCGGCATGGCCTCTTCGTCGGGAGAACATTCCCAATGCAGCACAATCAGGACAAATGATCTAATGATTATTCAAGCGAGTGGCTTGAAGAAACTGGCCACACCTCACATCATTCCATGCCACTCTCCGTCAAAGGAAAACCAGGGTCGGAACTTCGGACATGACTTCAAGTGACCTTCCCTAGGCCTCCTCCCTTTAAATCAAATCATCACACCTCTCCAGGGGCTGCCACTGATAAATGGTCATAATTATGGGAACAATAGAGGAAAAAGAAAAAAGAAAGACTCTTGAAATTGGAGTTTCACTGGGAAATCCAGGATATGTGACTTTAAACAGTAGCCAAAGTCTGACTTTACATTTTCTGCTTTCAACACGTACCTCAATAAAATGATGTTCTGCTTTGTTAAAAAGAATTTTTTCAAATTTAAAACTAGATACTTCTCTCTTTCATGCACGCGCGCATGCGGGTGCACGCGCACACACACACACACACACACACACACAGAGTCACATACGTGGAGAGGGGTGGAGAGAAGGAGAAAGAATATTTAACTTGGCATAGAATTCTCAATGAATTACAAAGAATGGAGTTCACTCAGTGGACCTGAAACCCTTCAGTCTCTGACCACAGAAGTCAGTACTCCCTGGTCCATGGATTCTGGGAGGTTCCCTGCACCCACCCTTGGGCTGCCTTATAGGCAGTGTTGGTGGATTTAGCAGGTGGATTTGTGTGACTTGTCCTAGCTGTTGTTTTTTTAGTCTCTTGAAAGAGCACAATAACTCCAGGTGAAACTTAAGTGACTTTCAAGTTACAGGAGCATTTTGCTTTTACTGATTTTTCCCCCCATTGATTTCCCCCCCAGGTTAAATATACCGAAAAATACTTTCATTCCACTGACAAAACGTGATCAGATGAAACTTGACAGTATCTTGAAGAGACCTTATGTTACCTGCCAACCATTTTGGAGAAAGGAAGTATGATTCTTTTTAAAAAGCGAAATGTTAAAAATTTGATTGCTTTTTACATAAGTACTTGCTATCTTGAAATCCCTCTTTGAAATGTTATATGACTAACAACGGTGTTAGTGTTGTCTGGCAGTAATTAGTTGTTAAAAAGTTGAATGGGGTGAATGCTAATGAGTTAGAACAGCAGAGTGAAGACAGTCCATTCTCAGCTCCGTCCCAGTTCCCATCGTCCGCGGCTGTGTCATCACTGCAGTGGCCGGGGTGGGAGGAGTGAAGGAAACAATCTCAGGGAACCCAAACCACTCCTAGCTGGCTAGAGCAGCCGTCCAGGGGATGGGCATCCACTCATGCCCACCGTTTTCACAGCGGCTCGAGAACAGGCTGACCCTAAAGTTTTGCCATGATCTGGGGACTAGAGTAAGTCCAGCACCAGTTTGTGGAATTGATAGAAATACAACTGAAAAACTCTAGTGTGACTACATTTATTTTTTTCCCCTTTGTTGACAGTTGGAAATAATGGCAAACTCTAAGATAAAGGCAGAAATTCAAGCCCTGACTTTCATCTCATCTGATTACCTTTCCCGGGTGTACTTACCTAACAAGTTAAAATTTGGAGGGTGGTTATGAAAACATGTTGGAAGAAACAGATCATGAAGGCTTTCTGTTAGTTTTCTTTCTTTTTTCTTTCTTTCCTTTCTTTCTTTCTTTTGAAATAGCATTGCAGAGGAACATATATTTTTTAATTCTATAAAGGTTAAATAAAATAATCTTCTGTTAATTTGTTTTTCTCAAAATAAATGCTGTATTCTAATTTTCTTTAAAGGTTGTATTTTTTTTTCCTCTTTCTAGACACTAATTTCTATCATATTGTTTAAGTACTGGGGAAAGGTTCTTGGCCCTGAGCTTCCGCTCCAGGACTGTAATCTTGTTGCATAGAGTCTCTGCTCTTCCTTTTGTACCACATGGCTGTCACAAGGTGAAATTTTCCAAGGTGAGGACTGTGTCTCCTTTAGATCTGGCATGTACCTGTTATTGTAACCTTTAAATTTTATTTGAAGAAATTAATGTTTATGTCAATTGGTATCATCTTAATTTCTACACTATAACTAATGCTATGGTATGAAATGGCACATTGTTAGCCAAATAATAATTATATTTGAGTTGCTATTCTCCACAGCAGACAGATGAGTCAGCTCTAGCTCAACAGGACTCTTTGGGACAGAAAGGAATTGTCCACAAAATTCCCAAGGATGTAAATCTTTTTCCTTTTTTCTTGTTGTGTATCATCAAGTCAGGTCCGACTGGCACAAGAGGGGATTGCCCCACATTCCCTAGCAAAGCGTCTGGGGCATTTGAACCACATGTCTTCAGGATTACAGCACAGCTTCCTGTCACTAGGCCACCAGAGCTCCCCTTAGGATAGAAATCTTTAGAGAGTCACTCTGCCTAATCTTTTTCCCTGGATTCAAACCGCTGACCTTTACATAGGAGTCTAAGACTCTGCCGCCAGGGCTCCCTGAGATGCCGTCCTGTCCAGGAATTCCTTCTTGGTTACGTTTTCCATTCCCTTCACAGTGTAAGGATCACATTCCAGGCATGCCTTGACCATGACATTACAATTTATTATGAGAAAGTGTTTGGGTTGATGGAGTCTTCAATGTTTTGCTCTTTAACGTGCTTGGGGGTTTTTTAAAACTTTTTAATCAATTTTAACTTGCTTTTATATTACTTCTTTACATTCCCCCAGTCTTCATGGTTTTAATGGATTGTTGCTTCAGTTTAACTCACTTGACTTCCTCTGTCTAGATACAGAGAATAAAGAATTTCAGTTTTAAGATTTACAAAAAGGTGTTCTTTAAGTAGTTGACATTGAACTTCTCCAGTGATTCTTTCTTCGGATGTAACCTATCTGATTCCTGTGTAGTCCATCAGGTGAGGGCCAAGTATATAGTCACCATGTGTGTTTTTAAAAATAAAATATTTAGCCATGAATAAATACATCAATTGTAAAAAAATGCCATCATTCTGGCTCCAAGTCTGTACTTTCCAGCTACTGGTCCTCCTTCCTTGTTCCCAATGTTTGCATTCTAGTCACCAATTATTATTAATGACCCTTACTTGCATGTTTGAGCAATTTCAGACTGCAAAAGTCAGTAGAAATCTTCCGTTTCTTCCTCTTTGGCTGTAGTTGCTGGTGTGTGTATGTGAATGATAACTGTACTAACAGGTCCTCCTTGTACGTGTATGGATAGTCTCCTGTGACTTACAGCTTTGTCTTTCAGGATGGATCTAAAGATGCTCTTTCTTACTGGGAATGCAACCCCATTTTTCCTCACTTTTTTATTCTTGAGATATTAGATTATATGATCATAAGCTGGACAAGGACTAAAATGACAGAGAAAGAATGTATAGCTTTGAGTTGTGGTGCTGGAAAAGAGTATGGTATGTACAATAGACTGCCAAGAGAAGAAACAGGTCTTTCCTGGAGAGGTGAAACCAGGATGCTTGTTGGAAGCAAGGCTGGTGAAACTGTCTCACATTCCTTGATGTTGTCAAGAGGAGCCAGTCACTGGAGAAGGACACCGTGCGTGGGTGTAGAAGGCCCGCACAGAGAGGACGCCCCTCTGAGATGGACTGACTGTGGCAATGGGGTCTGGTGTGTCAGAGATGGTGCGGATGGCTCAAGATGGGGCAGGACCCAGAGTCCTTGTTCGTAGGGTCCCGATGAGTCATAGTCAACTTGACAGCACATAAGAACTAAGAGTAAGAGAAGCTCTGGTGGCAGAGTCCACAGGAAGCTGCCCTGCTAACTCCTAGACAGCGCCTCTGTGCTGGTACAAATCCATCAGCAGCTCCCCGGGAGAAAGACAGGCAGCCGCCTCCTGTGCAGTCTGCAGCCCAGGCATCTCACGGAAGGCTGGCGTCGAGTCAGTCCCGACTCTGTGGCAAGGAGGGCTTTTGCTCCAAGAGTAAAATGTGATCTTTCCCCCTTAATCTTAATACTTCCTGCAATGACTCTTACTACTTCTGCTTAATCCTATACTTTGAGTAAAACTGCACTCAAGTTGTAATTTCTCCTTTGGGTAGTAAATTTATATATTCAAGCTGACAAGTCACTTAGCACTATGTATTCCAGTTATTTTTTTGGTTCATTTATCATTAATAATATGTACTACATAGAGTAGCAGCTGGCAATGTGCTGGTCGTATCATTCTCAATGTTCATCTGCAGATGTTAAAAAAATTTCTTTCTAAAGATACTGGTATTAAAAGGCAATATGTATAAATATATTGTACTGTACTCATTGCCACTAAGTCAGAACCAACTCAAAGCTGACCCTCCATTGGGTTTCTGAGACTGTAAATCACACTGGAGGAGACTGCCCATCTTTCTCTCACCGAGACGTTCTCTACTGGATTCAGTGAGGCATTTTTGTTTGCATTGCAATGCTCTGTGGACTACACACACCACCAGAACCTATACATATATAAGTATATAGAGCTATGTGTGAAAACTTATTTCTACATACATGTGTATCTAGATGTTGTTGTTAAGTCCCATCGAGTGGTAGGCAACTCATAGTGACCCTATGAATGAAAGCCCTTTACACTTGTGTGACTTTCATCCTTTCTCCAGGTTCATGGGGTTTCCGGAGGCAAGCTATTACAGAACTGGATGCCACTCCTGCTTCCAAGCTTGTTTTAACACTGTCCACCATGTGTAACCATTATCTCATCTGACACATCAGTGTCACAGTGTTCAGCATCATAGCAACAACAAGTTACCTCTGTACAGCAAGTGGACACACCAGGGCTATATGACCTAGAAGAATGTTTGACCAAAAACAATTAAAAACAGGCCCAAGGGCCACGTATTAGAGTCACCCACCTTTGGCTTGATAGCATCACTTTGTATAAAAACTTATTTCTTTTTTTTTTTGCCTCTTCTTTTTAAAAACTTATTTCTGTATACATGTGTATCTAGAAACAAATATATATCTACATACAAATCTCTCTGTATGTGTGTGTGTGTGTGTATATACACACACACACACACTCTTAATGGACTGCTGTATACACACACACACACTTACACACACACTCTTAATGGACTGCTGGGCCCAAAACGGAGGTGGGTGGACTGGGCTGTGGACCAGATCATGGGTGCTTCCTCCTGACGGTTCAGCACCCATGGGGACCCTATGTCCTTTTTGGGGAAGGGCATGGCACAAATTGTCCTCAAGTGAAAGACAGCTGTGAATCACTGAGTGACAGGCTCTGTGTGGACCTGCCATCCCCGGATGGACCTGCAACTTGGATTTCTTTTCTGAGGGGTGGAAGAGTGTCCTAGGTGATGCTGGAGTCAAGAGGTGTGAGCTGCTGTGGAGGTGTGAGCTGTGGATGATGCCCTCCTACAGTGCAGAGGTGGGTGCTCAGAGGCCTGGAGTTGGTTCCTGCTTACAATGTGCCACACAAGGAAACGCTATCTTGGTGTTACCAAAAAGGTCCTAGTTGGTGCAAAGTTGAAATCCAGATCAGGTTGGTTTCAGAAAGAATTACTCTCAAAAACGCTTAAGTTTTAGATCTTGATTTTTAGAATACAGATTTTTTTATTATTAAATTTTATTAGTTTTAGTTTGTTTTTTACTGCAGTACATTCTAGAACTGTATATTTAACCTAGGGAGCTCTTGTGGCTTAGTGGTAAGGAATTATGCTGCCAACACAAAGGTATGAGGTTCAAATCCACCAACTGCTCTGCAGAAGGATGGCCATTCTGTTCCTATGCTATTTACTGTCTCTGAAAACCAGCTGTAGGGTCAGCTATGGGTAGAACCCAACTCAATGGTATAACAAGGACATACATGGGGGGGGTGTTGGGCTGGGAGTGTATTTAAATTATTGCTATTAAAGAAATGTCCATGACCTCTAGTGCTAGTAATACAGAGAGCTTTATTTAAAAAATACTATTTCAATTACATCATCTTACATATGATGGAGTTGAACATAACTTTGTCAGTAAGACACAGACTACTTAGAGGTTTGATTTGAGTTTAGCCCAAAAAAGCAATCCAGTAAAATGAAATCAAGCTTGCCCTCTGCTGGCCAATTCACTTTTGTTTGCTCAATTATATGTAGTTTTTTTTTCCATTTTTTGTTGTTGTTGTTGTTTTAATTGGTTTGATTACAAAGTTTGTATACGTTTTGTTTCACACTATTCTTCATATTATGTTTCATATAATCATTCAGATGCATTATGTTTTATAAAATTAATCAGCACTGGGCCTTGCCCATCATTACTCTTTCACCCAGATCCTTTCCATCTCCTTCCTTGCCCCTCCATTAAACTGTGCAAGTCTGTGGTTTCATTCCTACCCATCCTCACCCCGCCACTACTACCACTTCTCCCCTTGAGCTCCCATGCATGTTTTACTAGTTATCCTTCTATTTTTACAATAATGGTCTTACACAGTACTTGTCCTTATGAGACTGAGTTCATTCACTCAGCATAATGCTCTCTAGTCTATTCCAAGTTATGCGGAATTTTTCGAAATCATTGCTCCTGAGTGCTGCATAGTATTCCATTGTGTGAATGTACCACACTACTAGGAATATGTTGTTGTTGTTGT